TTTTATTTCTATATTATGTCTTAATCTGGCCGATGTCCATGAATTAGGTAAGAACCGGCCAGAATTATATCCAAGTGGCCAAAAATAGGTCTTTTAGCGTACGTCTAAAATATTGGTGCTTAAGCATGCTTGTCTAGCCTAATAAAGAAAAAAAAAATTTGTAATTATATTCATCTCTGAATATCCTATTAATATTAAAACTGTTTTATTTATATTACGCTATGTGAATTTATATTTTAAACAAATAAGTAAGAAGTGGCCAGATTTTGGTCAGTTTGCCCTAGATATGGTCTCAAAGTTACTTTTAATTCGGACCGTAGAGAAAACATTACTTTTCGGAAATTTCAATTTAGATATGGTCTCAAAGTTTCTTTTAGTTCGGACCGTAGAGAAAACTTCACTTTTTAATAATTTTTTTCCCACTATGTGCATTGTTTTTATATCACAACTTATATCATTGTTATATTACCCACAACTAATTTTTTAACCACTCATTTGGCTTAAAATTATCTGGCTTTATTACAATATTTAGTTAGTCTTATTGCAATATTTATTAATATATGTTATTTATCTCCTAATTTTCATATTATTACTGTTTACAAGAAACTTTCATGTTATATTATCTTGCATTCATTACTGAGCTTTGTTTTAATTTTCACATGCACATTTTTCATCTTTATTATTAATCAGAGAATATTTTTATATCATTCATTAAATGTTTAAATATATGCCGCTTACATTTTCAAGATTTTTGTGCAATGTTCTTTTTCTCTATCATATATTATTCAATTATTGTTATGAGTTATTATTTCACAGATATTGACAAAAAATTAATACATCTGCTGTAGAAAAATAAAACAGAAAAATGAAAGAAAAAAACATATAAACTTTTTAAAATACTAACTTCATCACTAGAGCTCTCCCAGCCATCTTCCCATCGATCAGCATACTTGAAATCACTTTGAAACCCTTTCATATTAAAAGTAAATAGAAATTTTTTACAAGTATGTTAAATTAAACAAAAATTCAAAGTAAATATACATCATTCACCAACATTGATTTTATGTTCATTAACAATAGCATTACATGTTTTGTCACTTACCTACACCCCCTGAACCTTTTAACTTCAAATTTAATTTAGATATAATCATAAAAACTGGTTTAAAAGTTTTACAAACTCAATAAAACTGTTTTTGAGTTTTTATTGAGTAACATATACTACTACTGATTTATTATTAGTTTATTAAATGTAAGTACGTTTACTTCTGTACATTGTTGCTTGATGTTATTTAAAAACACCAGAAATAGGTGCTATTAAATTGCATATATTGGTAAAAAATATTTAAACTAATGAACTTGAATTAGGAAGATAATACAAAAAAATTAAATTTTTTTTTTTTTTTGTTATTTTTTACCTTTATCAATGCATTCTTCTTCTTCAACGTTAGGATCTCTAAGTAATCGCACTATTCTGTTTACATCATGTATAGAACTGATGTGTTGAAGAGTACATGACATTTTTTATATTAACATCTATAAAGTTTTAAGACAGATTAAAAAAATAACAAAACTAATTATTTACACAAAGCACAAGAGCAAAGAAATTCATTTGTAAACAATAATTAAAGACAGTTTATTAGAGAATAAGAAAATGCCGATTTAAGAGATTCTTACAAGGAGAGTTGAGTACAAAGCTGTTACAAGGAGAGTAGAATACATTAAAACAGGGTATGTGCAAAACTTACTAGAAATGGGGCGGTAAAAACAACAATGAACTGACTCTATAATAAATGCTTTTTTTATGTATTACCTCTGAATTTTGGATAAAAAATGGAAAGATGATAAAAAATGGAAACTTAAAAAACATACTATTAAATTCTAAATTAAAAAAGAAAAAAAAACCTTTTTATTTTAAAACTTATCTGCGAACAAAAATATAAATATATAAAAAAAAAGAAAACAATAAATACAATATGAAGAAATTAAAAATTATAAAAATTTAAAGAAATAATGAAAAAAAAAAAAAAAAAAAAATTAAATAATTTTAAAATCAATGTTGATTTGAAATGTATTTTGGCACAGATATTTGAAACAAAAACCTGCTCCACAGAAAATAACTTATGTTTGAAATTTCTTCAAATATTTGATAATAAAATAAAGTGTCAATAAAATCTCAAAAACTAATAAACCAGGTATTCAAAAATAATAACTAAACTAAAAATAACTTGAATATGAATTAGTTTTAAAACTTAAAATCTTTTTAAACAAGAAAGCTCAAAATGAAGACCAGATGAAATTTAAAAATATAACAGATATTAGGCAATCCTTTTGATTTAATAAACATTTTCCTATTTCTAAAAATTCAAATCCAAATTCATATTCATCAAAAACCAATAAAAAGAAAAGAAAAACTTATTAAGTTTAAAAAAAGAATCTATTATAACAAAGAGGAGCTAAATCATTATTGGTAATGAACCAAAACCTCCTTTAGATATATAATACTTTTAAATACCTTCAAATTTATAGTTTTATGCAACAGGGAATGAAAAAATAATTTAAGGTTTAAATCTAACTCATATTCTACAAAAAATATTCCTTATGTAAACATAAAAATAAGCAAATAATATTAATTGCGAATTCAAGTTAATTGAAAACTGTTGGCTTTTAAGGTTCAACTCAACACACTGTGTTCATTGCATATAATACATAATGTAAAACTTGTTTAATAGAATAATTACATAATTACTTGTTTAATAGAATAATTACATAATTACTTGTTTAATAGAATAATTATATACATCATGTTAATTGGATTAAACATGCTGCTAATTGTGTTCAATTAAACACCACTTTGGAAACTTGCCTACAAACCAATAACCAAAATGGTAAACTAACAGCTCCTTCTATATTGCAAGGATATGAAATAATATAACCTATATAAGGGAACCAATTGCTGGGTAGAATTACAACTGGCACACTGTAATATTTGTAAACAAGGTAAGCTGATAAAAATGAAAAAAAAGTGCCTATCAATATTCTTGAAATCCAATAATATTTTAAAACATTCGAAGATTGACTCCTTTTGATTTCATCAAGTTTGTCAGTAAGAAGATTTATCTTTCTTTGCAACCGAGCATGTTTTGCAAACTCATTATGAATACTAATTGTTCCTTGCTCTTTTCGCAATAAAAGCAACTCTACATTTATATCATTTTGCATTTTAAAACATGGTGAAAAACGATTCAGAATCCAAACAATGAAAGGTTTTAATACTATAGAAATCCATTCCCATAAAAATACCATCACTGCTACTGCTATAACTAGCATGATTAAAAATACTAAAAAAAATTAAAAATTTTCATTAAATTTTTTTTTATTGTTTTGAAGATTGAAGTTCGTAACTTCAGATTATTTTTAAACAATCTTATATAATAACTTTTTTTAAAAATCACTTTCAAAATAAAAAATATATATAACCTAAAAAATAATAAAAAAATAATAAGATAAATTTTAAAAAACAACAAAATCAAAAAATATATAAGCTAGCAATGTCAATACGTCAAATATTTAATAAAAATAAAGGCCAGATAAAAATAAAGAAAAAAACAAAATATTTGACAATAAATAGACAATAAAAGAAGAATAAGATCTCTAATCATGCAAGAAGATTCTTTAAGCAAGAAGTTCATTAAGGTGTTTTATCAAAGAAGCCAACCCTAATAACTGTGAACCCTTATTTTATATTCAAAATTAAAATTTATTTTTTATATCTTTTCATAAAAAATAAATAAAACCATTTTGTTTCTATTTCTTAGTTAAGACTGTCAGCAGTTATCAGGGATTATATAAGACTGTCATCTGCTATTTGGTGGTGCAGGTAAGACTGTCTGTTGCTATTAGGAATGACTCACTATAAATATCTGTTACCTAAGTTTCCTTCAGAAAAACTTTGAATGATGTAAAAATTATTGAGTTTTTGCTGAGATAAAAAAAATGGATTAAAAACCAGATTTTTAATAATAAATGATCAAAGTTTAAAAAAAAAAAGCAATACTATATAAACAATATTCTAACTTAAAAAGAGATTTCCAAAAAAAAAGAGTAACTGCACTTAAGAAAAAACAAGATTTTTTAAGTTTAATTTAAAAAATACTCCAAATTTCTTTAGATCTTTCTAGATGAAGGATCTGAAGAGATTTCCAAAAAAAAGTAATCGCAAAAAAGTAAATAAAAGATCACACTTTGACAAGAGTTTTGAAGGAAGGTAAATTTCTGAATAGTAACTTTTTTATATCTGTAAGGTTACTGTAATCTGTAACAGATTAGTTAGCAACTTAAATAAAAAAAATTCTTAATTTTCTTCTAAAAAATTTTCTATAATTTTATTTTCTATTTCAATTTCTTTTTTTAACTTTAATTTAATTTTCTTCTAAAAATTCTTTTTATGATGATGATGATGATGATGATGATGATGATGATGATGATGACGATGATGATGATGATGATAATGATGATGATGATAATGATGATGATGATGATGATGATGATGATGATGATGATGATGATGATGATGATGATGATGATGATGATGATGATGATGATGATGATGATGGTGATATCTCCATCATTTGCATAATTATTATCATTGCACAACTAAAGATAGATAAATAACATCCTCTGATGATCAAAATATAAAAAATTTTAAACATAATAATCAACTAACAACTGATAAGAATTTATTAACATCATAAAAATAATATTAAACTTTTAAATATTTTAAATGTAAAAAACATTAAAGAAAACATCTAGATATGCAATCAACAGCTTCATAACATTTCTTATCTAATTTTCCATCTCCGCCAAACACAAGCTCCTGTATTTTGCAAGTGTATACAACTTCATCATGAACGATAAGTTGAACCAAATTTCGTTCTAATGTTTTTTCTAGAGTAATTTCATAGTTTTCTTTTTTTAATAAAGTAATTAGGCCTTGTAACCGATCAAGCCTATAATCAACAGTGCCACAAGACAAATATGGTCCATAAAAAATAGTTACATCTCCTTTTTTATTCATCTAAATAAAGCAATGAAATAATTTACAAAATTGGTAACAAATTTTACCATTTAGACATCTCTTAATTTTATTTTTTTAGTTGATTAACTAAATAATAAAATATGAATATGAATATAAAGCTATAATATAATAATAAAATATAATATGAATTTAAAACTATAAATTTATTAGTTTTAATTTAACTTCTACAGAATATGTATACACATAAAAAATAAAGTTTATTCTTTGTTTTTTGCATTTAATATAAACATATTTACAATATTAAATAGTACAATACTAAATATATTTAAGTATAATGCTAAATACTAATATCAATTAAATCTTATATTTTTATTCAATTAACTTGCTTCCAATTTTTTTTTTGCTAACTTTTTTTAAGTTTTACATGAGTGATCAGTAAAATAGATTATAAAACAAATATATTACAAAAATATATACCTAAACTTGTATGTATGGAAAACATTTTAAATATCCGGAAAAACTAAATGTCTAGAATTCAGGAAATATCTGGAAAAAGATACGCCTGTAATCATCAATGATCACAAATTATTTTTCAAAAAAGTGCAACCAATTTTTGGCACTAAAGGTGCACAGCTGGTTTAGTTTTTTTGAATGATTATGTTGCTAGTCTTTTTGTTGATAATTTTGGAAATATTCTGTCGGGAAACATTTAATCTCTTAGCTAAGCATCATCATCACCATGAGTCATTATTCTTCTTATCAACCAACTTGTCTAGGCGTTTTAACTGCTTCTGCTTTACCTCCTTTTTTTTTTTTTTTTTTTTTTTTTGCAGTTCGACTACTGCCAACCTTTTTTTCTGGTCCTATATTGTTTTCCTTTGATTGCAGTATATTGTACAGAATCAAAATGTCATTTTCATACAAGAGTGATCAACAATAAATGTGTATTTCTTATTTGTATGCAAATCCAAAAAAAGTTACATTCGTTTTCAAAGTACCTCTTGATTTTTCAAGTTTTTAGACATGTTTAATTAAGTTCTGAAAAAAAAGAAAAATTTGCAACAAAATAGGTAAAATTATAAAATTATAAAACAATTGTTAAACAATTATTATTCATTTATGTTATAAAAACATTGTTAGACATATATGTTAAAGCTACAATGTTTGTCTAGATTTTACTTCACTGAAACCAATAACTTATTTAAATAATCTAAATTTCATTTAACTAATTTAAATGTTTTTATGTTTATTATTATGCTTTGAACAATTGATTATTTTATGTACATAGTTTAATTGATTTAAAAAATGGCAATTTTTGATGAGTTCAAAAACTTGCAGACAAAACGTTTCTAATATCTAAAACTTTAAATATTAAAATTTTGGAATTTTTTAACAATATTAATTTGAAATGCAAAATCGCATTATTATTTTGTTAAACTATCTTTACAATCAAGAACAGCTTAGCACCTTTGAGGCATAAAGTCAACTAAACTAATGCAAACATCAATGGGAATTGACTGCAATATTTCTTTGATTTCTCTGAATAAATAAGCATGATTTGTAAGCTTTAATACCTAATATTTGATGCTCAAAATGTGAATATAAATGACCATTTTGAACATCAAACTATATAATAATCCTAACTCAAGTCAGTTGTCTGGGACAACTTGTTGTCCCAGACAACTGTTAGTCCTTGTTGGCTGTTGACTTGTTGTCCCAGACAACTGGTTGTCTGCCACTTTAAAAGACAAACTTTACTATTCTTAAAAAATTCTTGAACCAGTTTGCCTGTGTTTTGAAGATTATTATCCTGGTGGTGTATCTATCTACGAGGAAATTTATATTTTGCACGAGGTCTTTTATCTCATTCTTCTTCTTAGGACTCACCCTATCATCGAATTACTACTACCCTATCACCCTATCATCGAAATTACTCTAGAAAAAACATTAGAACGAAATTTGGTTCAACTTATCGTTCATGATGAAGTTGTATACACTTGCAAAATACAGGAGCTTGTGTTTGGCGGAGATGGAAAATTAGATAAGAAATGTTATGAAGCTGTTGATTGCATATCTAGATGTTTTCTTTAATGTTTTTTACATTTAAAATATTTAAAAGTTTAATATTATTTTTATGATGTTAATAAATTCTTATCAGTTGTTAGTTGATTATTATGTTTAAAATTTTTTATATTTTGATCATCAGAGGATGTTATTTATCTATCTTTAGTTGTGCAATGATAATAATTATGCAAATGATGGAGATATCACCATCATCATCATCATCATCATCATCATCATCATCATCATCATCATCATCATCATCATCATCATCATCATCATCATCATCATCATCATCATCATCATCATCATCATCATCATAAAAAGAATTTTTAGAAGAAAATTAAATTATTATTACTACTAAAAAATTATTACTACTACCCTATCACCCTATCATTGAATTACTACTACCCTATCACCCTATCATCCAATTACTACTACCCTAAAGCTGACAGGGATTATTTTCATGACTTTTTTCTTAACAATCCCTGGGCTGATAACTTTTCTCACCGCTGATAAATGTGCCTCCTAATAATCTCTTGGATCTAAGTAGGTACAAAAACTTTCATTACTTCTCATCAGTTCCAAGTTTCACTTTTTTGTGCAACTGCTATATCTAATTGTAACTCTTTTAAGAACAAACACCTATTTATTATTGCAAGAAATCTATTTAAAAAGGTGCTGTCTCATGCTATGCTCCATTATTTCCAGTTAACTAAATCTTATATCTTATCTTAGAAATAAGGTTCTAGAAGCTTTTGGAAAATTTTAACTGTCATAAAAAAAGGTAAGTCTAACATTCCATCTCTAATTTAAAGGACTTTTCTAATAACCTTTTCTAAGGATAAGGCAGAAATGTTTTAAAAGCATTTTTCTTCTAATTTCCTTTCATTCCAGTTAAACAGGTTAACCCATTTTTAGACATTTAAATCACTCCAGCTTCCGTTGCTAAAGTCATATCTTAATTAAACTCTTCTACGGCTTTTAGTCCAGACAACATTCCTTACAAAATTTTTCTCCAGAACTCTCTTCAATTCTCTCTAAACTATTTAATAAGTGCTTGACTGAATCTTGTTTTTTCCCCTGCTGGAAAATAGCTACTGTGGTTCCAATTTTTTAAAACTCTGAAGAACATTTGGACCCCTCCAACCATTGTCTGATCAGTCTTCTCTTTATCATTAAACAAAAAATTATTCTATAACTGTATAAACACTAAACAAACTGACCCAAAATTATTAATAAAAAGTGGATACAATGGAAACATTAGGCTACTTTAAATCACATTAATGAATTAACTAAAAGTCTCTATAATAAAATAATTTTAAAACAAATTAGCTCTACTACCTGCAAATTTGTTTTACATCTTTAAACTTTTCTCTAGACAATTTTCTAACTTTACATAAATCTAAAACTTATTTTTAATATATTATCTTACCTTCCTCCCAGAGTGACATATATAGGATAAACAGACTTTGTCTGAATATCCAAAATAAGCTAAATATTTGATCAAAAATTTTTTTGGTTTAAACTTGAAAAAAAAGTTGGTGTCTAATAACTTACTCTTTGAGAATTGATATGGTTTTTGATGTACTCCTTCTACAACTGACTTGTTAACTGCTGTGACTGAAAGATTCTATTGTGCATAAAATGGTGGCGGCAAGGCAAGAGCTATTGCCACCATTATGATACAAGGTTTTTTGCTTTTGATACATCTAAAGCTTTCAACAAAGTTTGACATGCTGTTTATAGAGATGCATGTTTGACATGCATCTCCATAAACTTTATACAGTGTATCTGGGAAAAATTTTGATATTAATAAATCATTTCTTTCTAACAGCATTATTGAAGTTATCCTTGAAGGTCAACACTTTTCTTCATTTCTAACAACTTCTTAAGTACCTTAAGGTTCTATACATGGTTCTGTGTTGTTTCTTATCCATATAACTGATCTTTCTGACAATCCATCATCTAAAGTGGCTCTATCTGCTGATGACTCAACTTTGACTCTTGCTTTGACAAAAAGTCTTCTCTTTTTGATCATTTAGAATACTCAGCCCATATTGGTTGCGTTTCTTTTAACTCTAAATCTTAGTTATTTACTGCAATTAACTATTGTAATACTATCAACATTCCTATAATAATGAAAGGCAACCCTCTCATTGAGTCCTCTTCTCTATGCCTTCTTGGATTATAGATCACTACTGACCTTTTATGGAAACTATTTTTACAATCGTTTCTAAAAAGTATATTTACAATATCAACAAATTAGAAATTTTTAGAGGAAAATGTGAAAAGCTTTAGTATATCAGCAAACTTTCGAACCCAATAATATATATATAAACACACATATGTATATATATATATATAAATATATATATATATATATATATATATATATATATATATATATATATACATATATATATATATATATATACATATATACATACATATATACATACATACATACATACATACATACATACATACATACATACATACATACATACATACATACATACATACATACATACATATACAGACATCTTGGTGGGAGAAAATGACTGCAAAATCAATAAAAAGCCAATCTAAAACTGACTTAGTAGGCTTTAGTCTTTTTTATGGATTTTTTCAACATTTTAATATTAGTTTTGATAAACAAAATAATTTTAAAATAAATTTAATAATAAATCAAAATATTTTTGATAAGGTTTTAAGTATAGTTTTTCAGAGTTAAGATAAACTACATAAAAAAAAACAACAATTTATTTATCTTGTTTATTTAAAAATATAACTTTACATGGCTATTGCTTAGCATATGGTTGCTAACTTACAGAGGTGAGGAGGATAGCCTCTCATTCTCATTGAGGCATGATATATATATATATATATATATATATATATATATATATATATATATATATATATATATATATATATATATATATATATATATATACAACCCTTAGAATTAGGGTCGGCATTGCCAACCTGAATGCCGACCTAAACATGTTTGCGATATAAGATGCTGACCTCTAAAAGATTGAGGTCGGCAATTATTGCTGACCTTAATTTTCTTAATTCGGAGGGTTGTATGTATGTATATATATATATATATATATATATATATATATATATATATATATATATATATATATATATATATATATAAACTAATAGTTAAATGAAAACTAAAAGAAAAACTTACAGAAGTTTTTTGTTTCTATTTATTAACAAAGTTACAAAAAATATTAAAACAGTTTGGGATCTGAATGGTAGTCAAAATACTTCATTGTTACAGGCATAAGACCAACTTTTCTGGCTCTTCTAATATTTTGAGCAAGTTCTCTTTGTTTGTTCGGACATAAACCAGTAATCCGGCTACCGTATATTTTTCCAGTATGAGGAGAAACAAACTGAGATAAAAGTCGAACATTTTTATAGTCAAGCTCAATTTCAGGATTTCTATGAGGACATAGCAAGCATCCAGTTGGTCTATCTTCAACATCTAAACGCTCATATCTAGCTTCTAAGGCTTTCATTTTTTCTTTATGAACGTGGATTGTGGTATATACATCGTGATACTTTTTTTTTTTATTAACAACTGAACTTTGATGAAATAATTGGACAGGTACAAATGATTTAATCTTGGGAGAGTTTATAAACAACTTTGCAATGCTCTGATAATTCATGGTAATATGATCCTATTCTGTAACAATGGTAAAAATATATGATTAACAATTTTAATATGTATATAATGCATTTAAAATAATTCAATATTGTACCCTGCTTAAATGTAAGAGGGGTCAAATTATTTTATTTGTAGAATAGCTAGAGGGGAGTAGACACAACATTAAAAACTCATAGATTAAGGTATTGTAAATGTTGGGGTTGGAAGATGTATTTTCAATTTTTACTCATTATTTATAAGCCCATGTTATGTTTTTATATCTTTTTTACTATAGAGAATTAGAATGCAACAGAATTGTTTCTATTAGTGTTTACTGTTGCGAATCAATTATTAGTGTTAACAAATTCAAATTAGATTTATTAATATATAAAATATTTTAATGTTATCATAAGTTTATCATTAAATTTTATTGTAAAAATATTTACCATAATAAATATGATGACTTTAGCATTTGATTGCTCTGAGGATCACTTGGCCATCAAGAAAACGAAATGAAAATCAAGAAAAAGAAAAGAAATGGATCTTATAGAAAAGAGCAAATAAAACTTATCAGAAAATTTAAAGGATTTAAAACGGGAGATATCTTAGAGAAAAATATTGCTAAAAACAAGAAAAAAAACTTGCAAATGAAAGCATAGAGCTGTGTAATGGTGATTGAGATGACTTAGACAAAAATAAATTCAATCACTCAGATGCAGATAGTAAAAATGACAAAATTTTTTTTTATTTTATTTGTGTGTATTGTGAGGAGATCAGATGTTTTGAAAAAAATTCTATGATTGGATGTAGTAATTATAAGATTTTTTTTATCAAATATCAGATATTTTACCCCTTCCTTACAATTAGGCAGAGAAGAATATATAACAAGATTTACTTTTAATAGCTATAAAAAATTATAAGCATGCATATTTTAAATTCATTTACATAAATATAAATAATATGTATATTTATATTTATATAAATGAATTTAAAATATGTATGCTTATATTATATATATATATATATATATATATATATATATATATATATATATATATATATATATATATATATATATATATATATATATATATATAATATATATATACATATATATAAATATATATATATATATATATTATACATATATATATACATATATATACATACATATATATACATATATATATATATATATATATATATATATATATATATATATATATACTATATATATATATATATATATATATATATATATATATATATATATATATATATATATATATATATATATATATATATATATATATATATATATATATATATATATATATATATATATATATATATATAAGTTACATACATAAAAGTTATTGCATGATATAAAATAAAAAGTAGTCATTTAGAAGTAATCAAAGTTCTTATTTAAAAATCAATTTTTAATGTTTAAACTATTTTAAAACACTTAAAATAAATAATTTTAACATGTAAATGAAAAATAAATCTAAACTAATCAGTTTATAAATATATAAATATAGCAGACATTAATATGCAGACACAAATTTAACATAAGGCACATAAAAAAAAAATTATACTTATAATACCTACATAAATATATACATATATATATATACTTAAACATCTATACTTTTGTGATTATATCATATAATTTAAAATAGAATACTAAAATAAACCTGATAATTTTTTTTCTTTTTTTGAAAATTATTTCTTACTTATCTTTATTTTTAACTTATATACTTCTACCAGCCACCCTAGATAGACACATTCCAAATACATCTCTTTTTTTTTTTTTAGTCAATCGATACAATAAACTAATAGACTAAAAGCTAATTTGAACTTTTTTTTTTAATTTTGCGATACATTTGATCAATAATATCAGTTTGTTGGAACTATCATGTTATGAAATTACAAATAAAATCATTGAAGCAACATTTTGACCTTAAACTAGATATTCTACTTGTAGAACCAGGAGTAATTCATTTTGGATAAATATAATAAAACAGAGCAAAAAAAGAGAGAAAAAGAAAAAAAGAGAGCAAAAAAAAAATAAAAAATAGTAAAGAGCTTTCTAGAGAACTGTTTGCTATTTCCTAAAAATACAGCCAAGAATTGCATTTTTTTATTTATTTATTTCTATTTAACACAATTTGACCTTTGAAAAAAAAGAGATTCCTTTGCTGTTGTTTTGGTTATTATAATATAATAACCAAAACAACATATAACCACATTTAACCATATAATTTATATATATTATGTATATATAATTTTTATGGTTAAACAAATAATCTAGTCGAGTAAATGAAAATTAGCGTTAATTGTTTATCGTTTTGTGGTTTTAATAATAAAATTTATTATAAAATTTATTACTTGTTTGATTCCATTTTATACCTTAACAGTTAGTATATAATAAAATCTAGCAATATATCATTTTTTATACATTATTAAATTTTTTGCATTTTATTTTATTAAAGTTTATTAGAAGTATTATTTGTAGTAGAATTAGTTGAGACGATTTTAGTCAAAGAAAAAGTAGTAGAAATGTCTTAAATCAAAAACTGGTCGTTTATTATGAACCGTATATTAGAAGAGTTGAAAAATATATATTTTTAAGATACTAAAATCTCCTGATTAAATTATCCAAAAAATAAAACCGTCAAAAACTTTTATTAAAATACTTTAATTTTTTTTTAAATATATCTTGTAATATTGCATGTAATATTGTTTATTATTAAATAAATAGATTTGGGATGGCAATATCCTGCCGGTTGTTATAAATGCCGGTTGCTTTTTTAATTCTAACAAAACGTTTTTTTTTTAATTTATTGTTTTCGAAATGTGTATAGGTATGTCAGCGTATCACATATTTTATATAACGGTAACGCTAATGTAAAATACAAAATTTAACGCAATTTATTGTTGTTATCGACTTCGACTAAATCGACTTTAAGTCGACTAGCGAAATTAGTCGATTTTGAAAGATCGAATAATTGATTTAATCTTCCTACTAATTGACTAAAAGTCGATTTAATCGAGGAAAAGTCTTAAAACCCTTATACCTTTTCATTCAATTTAACTTTTCAATCTTTAATTTTTGTTTGTTTATTTAACAACAATAGTATGTACTATTACAACTATTACCTAGTTTTTTTTTTACTCTCTTATAGTTTTATCTAATTCAAAACATTTTAGTCAGTAGCGGATTAAGACTTTTTGGTGCTCGGGGCTATTTTTTTTGGAGATCTTTTTTGTGTGCCACGGCGTAAAAAATGACTAAAAAAAAAAAGAAATTTCCTCAAACTATTTCGTGGCCCCTAAAAGTGAGGGGCTTAGGGCTATAGCTCCTCCCCACCCCCATCCCCCTTAATCCAGCACTGATATTAGCATTTTTTATACCTAATTAAACTTTCGATTTTGTATTTCTTTAATTTTTTTTTCTTTTGTTCGCTTGATGCTTATGATAATCATAAATATTTTCATACAGGGCCCAGGTCTAAGGCCACTCCAAGCTGGCCTGGGACCTGGAGCTAATCAAAATTGTGAAGCTCCGAAATCTATGTCATCTATACAATCACATTTATAAATATGATCGTAATGACCTTTTGATATATAAAAAATTTAAAACGTTCTCTAAATCATTGAGTTCTGGGAGTAGATGTTCCCGTTGTCGGAGCAGTCCTTCTCTCATATTGTTTTGCTCTATTATTATTTAAACAATATTATATTAAAATATAGAATGCAAATATAAATTACTTAATTTTTTTTATTACTATTTATTTGGAAAAATAAATTATTCCCATACTTCGACAAAATCAACTTTTAGTCGATCTTAGTCGACTTTAGAAAAACATATTAGTCGATCTTAGTCGACTTTAGAAAAATATATTTGTCGATCTTAGTCGACTTTAGAACAATATATTTGTCGATCTTAGTCGACTTTATTTAAGATCTTATATTAGTCGATCTTAGTCGACTTTATTTTTAAGATCGACAAATATATTTTAGAAAAATATATTTGTCGATCTTAGTCGACTTTAGAAAAATATATTAGTCGATCTTAGTCGACTATAGAAAAATATATTTTTCTAAATATATTTGTCGATCTTAGTCGACTTTAGAAAAATATATTTGTCAATCTTAGTCGACTTTAGAAAAATATATTTGTCGATCTTAGTCGACTTTAGAAAAATATATTAGTCGATCTTAGTCGACTTTAGAAAAATATATTTGTTGATGTAGTTGACAGTCAAATTATTTCACAGTCGTAACAACACTAGAGTTAACCCACTTTAGATTCTAGTTCTAATCTGCTCTGATACATATTAACTAAATATAGTTGCCAAAATACAACATTTTAATCATTTTTCCACAAAAAATATTAGAATTTCGACGAGAAAGAGCTTATAATGAAGAAAAACTGCCAAAAAAGATCATATTATTAAACTACGATGTTTAACGATCATAATAGATCATATTATTAAACTAAGATGTTCATTTCATCTAAACAACGTATCTATTTAAAATCTTATTCAACTTTAGACATGTAATCGTAATTTTCAGGAGATTTAGAAAAAATAAAGTGTCTTCTGTCTGGGTTTTTACTGTAACAAACATTTTAATTTTATATTACGGCAAACTTTAAAATTTTTTATCATTTATCATCATTTTATTCGTCTTTTCATGTCACACTAAAATATGTTGTTGCCAGCAAAATATTATACAGAAACTCAAATATTTTAAAATTGCCTTAACTACACCGAGTGTCGAGTTTTCAGAATTCTTGATAAAGAAATGAAAAAAATAACTACATTTTTGTTAATTTTAAATAAATAAACAAGTTTGTTTTTTAAAAGCCTTATTTGTTAGTGATTTGGTCGAACAAAAACATTGGATTTATACATATATTATGTAAAGCAAAACACAATCAAATATGGAAAACTGTTTTTTCAAAGTGCAGTTAGTAAAAAATAGTTTTTGGTTTCTTTAAAAAACAAAAAAAATTTACAGCACTGCTCAGTTATTTTATTTATTAAACACAGAAACTCTTATTTAAAACTTTCGTGCTCAATAAGAGAAAGTATTTATTTACTGAATTAGTTCTTTATAAGCATGCTTTCGGTAAGGATTAAACTTTTTTAAATCTTATTTTTTCTCACTCCTCGACCTTTTTTCAATCTCCAACAATCGTTTCTTATCCTCTTATTGTTTCTCGTTTGACTTACTTAAAATTAATGCTTTTTATGGTCCATCTACCTTTTTCGTTTCTCAATTAATGCATCGTCACGATCACAACTTAGTTATGACTGGAGATGACATACTTGTGAATATTTTTATCAAAATAATCATAACTAATTATAATTTTATACTAATTCTGACCGCTGCAATCTGCCACAGTTGTTTGCAGTCTGCAGCTGTTGTCCATACTACTAATTTCTTCATCTGAGTTATTCTAATTTTGACGCTTCTCAAAATGTAGCTAGCAATTAGGTTTCTTCCTTTACCACTAATCCCATCGTACCGTGCGAACATAAAACTTTGATTGTTTTCAGCCATACGTATGTCTAGGCTGAAACAAGACAATTGGCGTAGATAATAGACTTCGCAATGTGGTAGTTTGAGCAATGAGAAAACTTGATACAAGTGTATGGATACTGTACAAATCTCTAGCTGCATCTGCTTTCCTGTGATGAAATAATAGTAAATAACAAGATTTTGCTTTATTATTTCCAGAGTTATACCTACCTGTCTTTTCTTTGACGATGAAATCTCAGCTTGGTAATTTTTTCCTTTAACATTTTCATTATTTGCAGTAATTCTATCCAACTTTGTTGTTTGGATGAAGTTTAACAAAGAAATCATACATAATTGATAGTTCAAATATTGGCTCAAATACATGAAGAATTTTTCGTCATCACACATTTTAGCTTTTTAACTAAGGTTTCTACCCTACGCTTTGTAATTCTATGTGTTTCCAAAAATATTTGGAGATATAAATTATAAATGGAGAACGGCGCTTTTATTTAAAACTAAGAAATTTAAAAATTTAAAGTTTTGTAAAAGCAGCAATTATCTATTTCTGACAGAGGCGGATCCGGCATTTTTTGGTCTTTAAGATAACTAACTTTCAGACATGGAGCAAACTCCAAACATTTATGTTTATACTTATGTTTATACTGTCAAATAAGGATGCTTTATACTATATATGTTTATACTGTCAAATAAGGATGCTTTGCAAAAAATTGCAATGATTGGAGACTGGGAACAATAAAGCCCCTAAATATTTTCCCCCTGCCCCAAAAGTTAAAGCACCAAAGATTTTTTGTACTCTTCTTAACTAGACTTACATTCATCAATAAGTTTCAAAAATAATGACCATATAAAATTTGTAACCCCCTCATTTCGAGGGGTTACAAATTTTATTTGGTCATAATTTTTGATCGCTGAGAGATAATACTATGAAGGCAAAAAAAGCAGATTTTATATTGTCAGTCATGAAAATGTTTTTTATTTATTGTGAAAAAAAAACAACAACAAAAAAACAACAAAAAAAAACGAGTAGTCCCGCGCCTATTTTACTATTTTCGGAAATATCTTAAAAAATAATTCACATATTGTCATATATTTTTTAAAAGTCTTTTAAAATGTTGACATTTTTAAAACGTGTCATTCAAATAATTCATTTTATCTGCTAATCAAAATAAATTCAAACGAAAATACAAAAATGTTAATAATAATAAAAAAATATTTACGATTATCCTTTAAAAATCTTTGTTGTGTATATAAAACATAAAACTTTGAAAACATAGTTTTTACTTGAAAAAGAAAAAATATTAAAAAAAGAAAGAATTAAAAACACGAGTTTTAAATAAAGTTTTATTTTTGTAAACTTTAGAGTATAAATACATTATATTACAAAAAGCTATAAACATCAGACATATAAAAAAGATTCAACAAGGTTATATAAAAATTATTGGGTACCAACTATCACAAGTGTTGGAAGTTTGTTTAGCTTTATATCACTTGGAGACCAAACCGTAATCTTTCCTGATTTGTCAGCAGTAATCAAGTATGACGCATCGTAATTAAAGAACGAAATGCTAAAAATTTTATGCAATTAAACTTTAGATAAGTTTAAGAAATAAATAAACGAGTTTTAACATTATAATAGTGCGTGTCTAAGTTTTCAGACATTTACATATACTATGCTTCGAAAACAGTGGCAAGTTCAGCGAAACAGTTCTATAAGCAATATTCTTTAACTATATTTTATTTTTGTATTTGAAATTAACAAAGACTCTGATATTAAAAACTAAAGGTGTGGCAGAAATAGATCTAACATTTCTAGCGAGATTAAAAAAAAGTGTATAAGGTATCCCAAAAACACTTCACTTGCAACAAACTGCGTGAAAAATGCAGTGTCACATTTACAAAATTATTATTTTTGAAAAAAAAACCCACCATTACAAAGCATCAATACTAACCAAACCACGGTATGGTAACGACGCAAACTAACGGAAACGGACCACACTCCTCTACCTGGTTTATGGACCCCACGTTGATTTTTTAAGATTTAGGAATTATTTCTGTCGCACGCTGTATACGCGTATTATAAATAAAAAAAAAGTGTATTGAATATATTTTTTATTTTTAGATTTTTGTAATTTTATATATATATATTTTAAACACTTGTTATCTGACAAATAATGGAGATACTTACGCTGTAATAGGTTTTTATGAGCACTTATTATCTCACAGCATAAAATAATGAAAATACTTACGCTGTTATAGGTTGTTTTGAACTAGAAGCTATCAGTCTGCGTATAGGTTGCAGAGTCCATGTTTCCCAAAACCTTTAAAAAAATCATAATACCATAATAATATACTACCTAGTGAGCACAAGACGTGTTTAAAATACACTAATACGTATTAAAACGCATTTTATACGTCTAAAATACATCTTGTGCCCACATGGTATAGTATATTATTATGGTATATACGATAGTGTATTATTATGGTAATATATATATATATATATATATATATATATATATATATATATATATATATATATATATATATATATATATATATATATATTATATAACTAATATAGAAAAATAATATCTATTATTAATACTGTTTAAAAAAAAAAGCATGCAACTCACATGGAGAAAAACTAAAAAAACAATACATAAATACTGAATTTATTTTGTAACAACTTTAAAACAGATATATTAAAGACCTTAGTGAAAAAAGAAAAGTTGTCGCAATAGAACTTTGTGATTAAGTGAGAAATCGATTTCAAAAAATTGATTGCAAAAAGCAAAAGCAAAAAAAATTATCCCTAAAATTTCTCAATCCTGGAGCATTAATGAATTGCTCTGGAAAAGAGTGTTTAACTCTATGATTTGTGAAGAAATTTCGCCTCTGTTTGCAATGCTTTACCAGTTGACACTTTATTCGCATAGCATGACCGCGAGTACCACCTGCAAGTGGTATTCATCGTGAAGAAGCAACTTTGGAGGGGACGGAAGCAACTTTGGTGGGTTATGCCAGTTACATAAATCCGACGTATTATTTTAAAATGTTGTATCATATCACTTCTGATTCTCCTCTCAGTCAGGGTGGTAAGTCGTAGTGCTTTGATTCTATCTTTGTATGGCATTTTTGATATTGAAAAAATTACTTTAGTAGTTTTTCATTAAATGTTTTCTAAAATCTGTATATCTCTTATGTTATGTCTTTTGCTTGAAATGGTGACCATGATTGAATTGCAAGTTCTAAATGCGGTCTAGTGTATATTGTATATAGCAATTTCAACAGTTTTAAACCTTGGTGCTGAAATGCTTTTTTAAAAACTCCAAGTATTTGATTAGCCTTCATAGCAGCAGAATCTATTGGCGTCATATCTTTAAGGTTATACGAGAAGAGTATACCTAAATCTTGTTTATTATAGGTAACAGCTAATTTGACTTGTGTATTATTGTCATCATACATATAGTATTTGTGGATCAATTTAGTTGATCCTTGGCTAATATGCATGCCCTTAGATTTTGTTATATTAAATTTCATCCACCAATATCTTGACCATTCAACAGCTTTATTGATATCAGCTTGTAAAATATCTGATGGCGAGCTGATTATCCCAAAGATTTTGCTATCATCAGCATATAATTTTATATTGTATGTCAAATTATCTGGCAGGTCATTGATACACAATACAAAAAGAAGGAGCCAGAGGACTGATCCTTGTGGGATACTGCTAACTACATCTTTCTAATCTGATGCATTTTGTCGTAAATTAACCCGTTGTAGCCTTTTACTTAGTCATGCTTTAATCCATGCAAGAATCTGACCACAAACACCATATGCGTAAAGTTAATGTAGTAGTCTTCTGTGAGGTACTGTATCAAAGGCTTTTTCAAAGTCGATAAAAATGACATCAATAAGGTTCTGTTGTTGCTAAGCCTAGGATACTTTCCTAGGATTAGGCTTCTTAAACCTTCTGTGTCAAGAGTTTCTAACAAGTTAGTCACACTTTTTTTTTAAAAAAAAAAATCCATGTTAGGTATTCGAGATGACACTTGTAGCTTCACAATGATGTATTATAACCTCCTGGATAAATGCTTCCATTAATTTTCCAGGAATTTATGTCAAGAAGACTGGCCTGTAGTTTGAAGCCAAATATTTAGAGACTTTGGTCTCTAGATATTTAGCTTCAAAATGGTCAAAAATTGGTGTAACATTTGCTTTTTTCCATCTATCAGTGTGACACCAGTATTGAGTAAATAATGATAGAATAAACTCAAGGGTAAAGTCATACTTAAAAAACAATTTGAGAGAACTCGTGGTTGAATGACATCGAATTGAGTAGACTTTTTTTGATCATAGTCTGTTTTTGATATGCCTAGAATGTAAATGAGGTTAGGAATTTCATTGCATTTGAAAGCAGTTAAAGAATATTTTATCTGTACACTTATCACCTATAGATGTCTCCTCGATGATGGCTATTGTTGCCTTTTCTCCACTAATGTCCACATCAACATATCTCATGTGATTATAATTAAAACCACCAAAAAAGCCATTTTTATGCATGGCTGCATTACAAATTTGGCCAGCAAGTTTGTAGAGTTTGTTTTGAAGCAAATTTGCATTTGTAGACCAGATTTTTAAACTTGATAACTTAGGAGGTGTTTGTTTACAATATTTTAACTTAGATTGTTTTAACAGCTTCATCAAATGTCAATTGATCGGTGAAGATAGATTGCAATTCTTTAGCGGACTCAGTAGAATTAATGGGTTTGACACGGTTAAGCTATTGATGGACGACAAAGCGAAAAGGCTGTTCAAGAAGGCCAAGTTTCTCCACACAGAAGGTTGTAACCACAACTAAAGTAGCCTCCTTAACTGTAGTAGCCTTCATGACATTGGGGAGATGAATTGAAATTGAAAAAAAAAAAATATGTATTCAATCCATCATTTGTTTTTTTCTCTCTCTGTATAGTTCATTGAAGTTTGCTTGTTCTGATTCTATGCGGTCCTCTCTTGCGTATACATTCTTGTAAGCTGGAAGTGTGTGATGATGCACTTTTGATAGTACGATAGATAGCAGCTGCTATTTTGATTTGCTATATTATTTCGGCCCTCTTGAATATCAATCCCAAAAACATTCGCTTCACAAATTTTTTTGCTCAGCTGAATTTTAATTTAGTAAAATTTAAATCTTTAGTGTCAGTTAAAATATTTCTTTAGTTATCAGTTGATTTACTGTTGAATAGAACCACAAAACTAACTTTCTTAACTGATGACAATTTTGCTGCTGATTTATCACATTTAGATTAAAATTCACTAATATGATTTTGTTACAAAGTACTTTTAATTCTGGTTTTAATACAGCTATGCACTTAAGTTTAATAGAGATAAAGTTGTTCATAACTATGAGCCATTTTTTCATAATTATGCGCCATTTTTTCTTACACTAAAGTTTAAGGAATAAAGATTTTAAGTTTATTTTTGTGTGTTTTGTATCAATAAAATAAACAAAAAAAAATTATATATACTTCACTACTTCCATAAAACTAATAAAACATGATTTATTTTACAGATGACATAAAAGTTTAATCGAGTTAATTATACATTTTTCACACTCAATAACTAATTATTATATTTAATTTCTGCTATAAATTACAAATATAAAGAGTAGTGATTTTTAAATAAAAAATAAATTGAAATTACAAAAAAATACTTAACTGCAAAAAATTATCTAAACTGCAATATTTTAAATTTCAATTGGCTTGCAAATGGGTAGAAAAGCAGTGTCAGAGAGCATCAAATGGCAAATTATTGGACCGGTCAAATCAAAGAATCATAATATTGTTGAAATTAAAAACTTTTAAGTGTCTCTGAATTTTGCATGCAAAAAAAAGTAAAAACCTTAGAGCTAATAGGTAATGTCATTGACATGCCTCGTTCTGGAAGACCACTGAAGCTTAGTCACAGTGAAAAAAGTAGCATATTCAAAACCAATAGAAAAAAATCATAGGCTCAACAACAAAAAAGCTAGTTCAAATATTCAACCAACTCTTTTCTAATCGAAATGTAAGCAAAGAACTTGTTAGAAGAACACTAGCAAAAAAAGGTATAGGGTCTAACATTATAATAAGAAAGCCTATCCTGTCAATCACGGACTGACGCAAAAGAGCAAAATGATGCAAAGAACGTTTGCATTTGGTAGTTAAAGATTGGGCAAAAGTGCAGCTGAAGTGTTTTCAAATATTTATATTTAAGGTGAGAAATGTTTTCTGTTATGCTTTGTAACAAAATATTTTTTCTTGGAGCAACTTAGAAAACAAAACCAAAAAAAAAAAAAGACAACATGCTATTATGGATAATTTGGTAGTTATTTTATAATTATTATTTGAACATATTTTAGCATTACTTTATAAACCTACTAAATGAACTTTTTAAAACTACTTTATCCATTTATTAAAGTAACAACAAACAATTACAAGTACCTTCTAAGTAAATTTAAGTACTTTAAACAGCTTTAAGTACCTACTAAGTAACTTAAAGTAAATTTTAAATAGCTTTGAGTACCTTAAAAGCAACTTTAAGTCAATTTTTAATAGCTTTAACTTTTTATGTAGCTTAAAGCTTTTAATGTTTTTACTTTAGAGTAGTTAAAATAACTGTCTGAATTATGAATTATGTAAAACATAAAATGTTTTAAAGCAGTTTTTAAAAATATTTTGTCTTTGAAAAAAAAAAAAACTAATTTTGTCTTTTAAGAAACTTGTTGAATTTCATTTAAGACAGACATATACTATCACATCATATAAATAATCGTATTGCAAAAAATAAAACAAATTTTTTTTTTTTTAAAAATAAAACCTGCATTAATTAATTAAAATACAAATAATTCAAAACACCTTATCTCGCCACTGTATAATCCAGCTATAATAACATTAACAGCTTTACCATCAGGAAGACATGAAAAAGCTAAGCACATCACTTGATCGTTTACCAAAAAGTTACCAATAACTTTAGCATTAATAGTCCATACATATATTCGACTATGTTTTTCTAATAAAGTTTTCAAAGTTTTTTAAAAAATAATTAAAAACTTAAAAAACGTTCAAAATACATAAAAACTTTAGGTTAAAAAAGTCACTGAACAAAGTAAGAATGGTACAGTCAAAATAAGATGGTATTACCGACAGCACAAGCTGTTGCTATATCACCAGATACATTATTTATGGCAACACAATCCACACTGTTTTCATGTGCAGGAAGGCTTCGAATGTAACATAATCTAACATCAAAGTATTCAAAATTAGATAAAAATCACGAACCTTATCTTTATTCTCAAGAATCCTAATAAATTGCTAAACCTGTTTAAATCCCAAATAATTGCAGTTTTGTCTTTTGATGAGGTAACAACGATACTGAAAGATTGGTTTATAGAAATAGATGTTATGGCATCATCATGACCAAGCAAGTTTTGCTTCGCACCAATAATGTCAAGATTAGGCTAAAAATATCATTAGTTAATAATATATATATGTGTGTGTGTATATATATATATATATATATATATATATATATATATATATATATATATATATATATATATATATATATATATATATATATATATATATATATAACACCGGTTAACTCGAACTTTTATTATCTTTGTTTCAGTGGGTCCCTTAAAATCGTCTAATCAATTACTAATAAAATTCTCTGTTTAATTTAAACCTTTTTTCATCCCCTTTCAGCAAATTTCTTTGGGTAACTCAAACTTTTTGTATGGAAATTAAATATATTGACATTTTTTTTTAAAAAAAGAAGCTACTTCATATATAAACTATTAACCATATTAACTATTAACTATAGCTACAGTTGAAGTCTAATAAATTCTTAATTAAAGTTGCATTCAGATATGAATAGAGTAGATTGTTATCAGATGTAAAAAAAAAAAAATGCTATAATAAAAATGTTGAAAGGTATATGATAAAAAATACTAGAACTAATATCTCATATCAACCAAAGTTCGACTCAACGGAAATTCGCTTTAGTCAAACATTTGTTAAACCGAACCATTTTCCTTGGTTCCTTGGAGGTTCAAGTTATTGGAAATTATCTATATGTATTAAAAACATATTAACACAATATTTATAAACAATTATTTATTATTAAATACATTGCTAAAAATACTAAAGGATAAAATATTATTGCTTAGATCGGAAATTATATAATTAACTATAATTTTATACTTAACTATATACTTAACTATTGGCTAGAAATATAATCTAACTTTTACTTTTTAAATACCTCATTATTTGAATATTTAATAGGCCAAACATTTATAACCCCTGATTCTCCGCCAACAAACAAAACTTCAGAACCTGGAACATATGCACAGCAAGTAACACAATCAGGTCGCATTGGTGCAAATATTTTCTTTGCATTACCATTTAAATGCTGCAAGCGTAGCATTGAATCAGTCCAACCCCATGTCAGCATACCAATATCAATGGTTACTGAATTTAGAGATTTATTTGTTAAGATACATGCATTAGAGCCACATAAAAATGCAGATAATGAATCTGAGGATGTAATGATTTGACGAATAACAACAGGAGAAAAGCTAAAATGCTGAACAATAGGTATTTCATGAAATGGAGACCCACAATAACTCCCCCAATCAATACCAACTACTGATGGAAATGGAGTACATTGATCTAAACATAATATAAAGAAAGTTAAAGAATAAAAAAATTTATTAAGTGAAATTTAAAGAAAAAATTAAACTAGAAAATTATCCCTATATGAAAAAAAACTCAGCTTTTAAAAAAAAAAAAAAAAACGGTAGTGTAACTTTGACACAAAGGATTGATAATAAATAAAAAACCAATATTCTATCCTTTTTTTTGTAACAGAAAAAAACAACAACAACAGAGAGTAACCCAAGCTAAATTGATAATAAAGAGATATGAGGTAAGTTGAACAGTGTAATACTTCACAAACAACAATTAAAAAGGAAAGAGGAAGGGAATGAATTTATAAATAAAATAGAAAAACATAGCAAAGAGTTATAATGTATATACTATATAAAAATATAACTTTTGAATAACTTTATTAAACCACCTTCATTTTGTAAATCTTCGCATTGTACTATGCCTTCTTTTAAAATTCCAGGCAAAATATTCTCCACTGCAGTAGGTACTGATGCTTCAATCGATGCAGACTTCATATTTTTTTTTGTGTGAGGTGAAGAAAACAACTGTGAAGGAGTTTGACCATAAGTTTCAATCATTGTTTGTAAAGCACGTCTATGAATAGTGTCCTTGACTGCACTTACATCAACACCAAAATATGTCTAAAGAGTAAAAAAGAAAAACAATATATTATTTAACAAAACGATTTTTAGAAATTAAGTTGAACAATAAAAACCATCTGTTTTGTTTAGAAAACTCCTTTTATAAAATAAAACTTACAGCAGGATGAAAAACGTTGGTGGCTTTAACAGCTGCTGTTCCAGTTTGCTTATAGCCAAAAACAAGATCAATCCAGTGGTGCAGATTTTCAGAAACATAGGTAGATTCCAATGCCTGTATTTTTTATTTTTAAGATTTAATAGAATTCACTTTTGAATCAAAAAAATTAAATACATTGCATTGAAAATATTCATTACAGCAAAATACTTACCAAATAAATACTAAAAAATACCAAATTACCTTAACTAATATAGTATAATAATACATGCTACAAGAAACAGTTATAAGATTACATAGATGCTGTTAAATAACAGAGTTATAGGTGTATATAAATAACTTTACACAAACATTTAAAAGTTATAAGAACATATAGATGCTGTTTGATTAAGTATTGATTGAAATTAAGTGCTTGCACCTAAATGATTTAATTTATATTCTTATGTTTGATATGTTTATTAATTAATATTCTACCTGCATGTGAATTAAGGTGAATAAACGAGGATTATGTGCCCATTTTGGAAGTGCGATGTCGTGTACAATTTCTCCATTTTGGCGAACACCAAGGTTAAAATCTAGAACAAAAATGTTTTTTGACAAAAAACTAAAACTCTAAAAATAGTTTCTATAAATAATTGTAATAAAAAAACTTTGGAAAAAAGAAATTGTTATTTCACTACAATAAATTATAAAACTTTTAATTTTTTCATCACAAAATAAAGTTTACCTTCGTTATTAACTAAAAATTCTTGTAAGAAAAAAAACTCAGGTATTAATTCTTTAACATCTGTACTGCTTATAAAAGAAGAAAGTTTCCATGTTGTACTTATTGAATGAAAAGTTCGATCAGGAATATCAAACTGATTATCTGAAAATAAAAATTCAAAAGTTATTTAAAACTTTTTATTGCATATTTTATTTATATATATATATATATATAATATATATATATATATATATATATATATATATATATATATATATATATATATATATATATCAAATTATGAAAAATATATATATGTATGTATATATATATATATATATATATATACATATATATATACATACATATATATATATACATATATATATATATATATATATATATATTATATATATATATATATATATATATATATATATATATATATATATATATATATATATATATATATATATACATATGTATGTATATATATATATATATAAAACTGAAATTTATATAAAAAATGAAAGTTATATAAAAACTGAAACATTTCTGTTTAGTAATTTATTTAAATGACTATAAGGAGATTATGGAAGTAAATTGCTATGAGTGAAAACTAATGTGAAAACTTCGATTTTAACATTTTTACTGTTTATGGAAAGATAAAAAAAAAAGCTTTTAGTCATTTGTTGAATATTTTAATGCTGTAAACAAGAAGTCTTTTTACTTTCGAATGAAAAAGACATTTTTTGAATGTAAATACTTAACACATTTGTTTCAGCTGTTTTTATGACACTGCCCCGTTGCGTTATATGTATTTAGTGTTAGTTTTGTTTTGCTTGATGCTTTGTTTAAAAAAAGATTTATAAAAAAGTAATAAATTATATAAGAAAAGCTTAAATTCTACTTTTTAAAAATATATAACAGTGATAGTCAAAAATAAGCAGAAAACACAAAAAATTGAAGTTTAAAAATGTAAATTTTGTTTTTAAAAAATGTAAATCGTTCAGATCTCTCTTTAACTAAATGAGGATATAAATGATTTTTTAATACAAAATATAAACTACTCAATAAAATTTTTTGTTATTATGCTAATATATATAGGTAAAAATATATGCCAGCTCAGTATACTTCATTAAATTGGAAAAAAATTTATTTATTGTTTAAAAAAATATCTAACATTGTAATATATATACATATATATATCATGGCCAACATAGTGGCAGGCCTAGTAAACATACAGCTAAAAAAAAACTGTAGGCGAGTTTTAATTTTATAAAATTCCAGCAATATGGCGCTATTAAACTTGAAGAATATAGTTTTTAAGTGTTTTGTCACTGGATGCAGAGGTAACTACAATGTTACAAAGTCAAAAAAAACTTTTTCGCCTTCCAAATAAAAAAAATGTGGATGAACGAAAAAAGATGGATAAGTGCAATACCTCGAGATAATATTCCAGATTGCCCAAATGATCTTTATGCAAATGATCTTCGCCTATTTGTGAAGATCATTGGCCTAAAGACTATGAAAAAGTTTTAGTTTACGGGAAGTTGAGACCAAAACATCTACCATCTGTATTTTTTTGAGTAAATCCAAGTCAAAGGCACCACCAAGACCAACTACTAAATCATTGCCATCTTTAAGAAGTACTTTGCCTGATGAAATGGAGGCTGATAATATTTCTTCTTTGATTTGTGTAATAAAATAATGTCTAAAACTATATCTTTTTCCTACTCAATAACATCAAGTATCAATGAAAACTGTTTACATCTTCAAGCTGCTGATATATTGGACAACTTGGGTGTTCCAAAGTTTATTTTGAAAATAAAAAATGATTTATCCATTGATAGCTATCACTGTGGTGTTAAGTGCACCATAAAACCTTTTTCTTACAATCATGAATATTATTGATTGTATTAGCCATTTTTAAGCTGCAATACACTATCTGAATTCTTTACCAATCGATCACAAAAAAAATATTATTATTGAACAGATGTTAAGTATGAACTCATTAATGTTTATTGGAGAAAAAAAGTATTCTCCTGATATGGTTGCTAGGGCATTTGAGTATTTTTTATTGTCAAGAACTCTTTACTCTCGGTTATGTGATGACTACGAACTACCAAGTATATAACAAAGTTGACATCTAAAGTTACAAATGTTGGAGATGATGATTTTTTAAAGTTGTATTTTGAAAAATGGTCTATATCTCAAAGACAGGTTATTCTACTAATTGATGAAATTTCTGTTAAACCACAGTTAACATATCAAGGAGGTAACATTTTTGGTAAATCTGTAAATTCCCCAAATGAGTTAGCAAAAAACAGTTTTGGGTTAAATGATTTGTTCTTTATTTGGTGGAAAACAGTTTTAGTATAAAGCATTACCAGTAACAGGTTTAGATGCTAATTTTCAATACGATCAAACAGTGCAAACAATTAAAGCGATAAAAAAATGTGGTGTTTCTGTTGTTGCTTCTCTTTGCAACAATAACAGATAAATAAAAAGTTTTTTGGAATTTTCAATCTCCATAATACTTAATGCACTAAAAAGTGCACCAAGTATTATGGAGACATTTTCATTCTGTATGACTTTTGTTCATTTAATAAAACCTATTCGCAACAATGGCTCACAGAAAAATCCCTTTACTTACAAAGCTAAAAACTGCAAAATGATCAGATCTTAAAAAACTTTTTCTATATGAAAAAGATGCTATTGTGAAATTGTCTTAACTTAATGAAACAGCAGCTTTTCCTAAACCAATTGAACGTCAAAATGTGTCAACTTGTTTAAGAGTATTTTGTGATGCGACTGTAGCTGCTATAAAAAATCATCCATCCATAAAAAATGTCGAAGACACCACAGTGTTTTAATCTATTTTTATTAAATTGTTAATGTTAAAGGACTTTATGAAGATTTTTGTACAAGAGATAAATGCCGTGCTGTTTTTTCATCAAACAATGATAAACAATTGAACTTTCTTTTAAATTTGGCTGATATGGTTGAAAAAATGGCTTCTGAAAAACAAGGTCATAGACTAAAAAATTTAACTAAAGATACTTCTCCTGCTTTTTCCCATACATATCGTGGGATGGTGGAACTAGTAAAACATTTACTAACTACAAGTATAAGTATGTCTGCCTTGGACATTTTACTAGTGACCCTATTGAGAAAGCATTTGGAAAACTTTGGCAGGGATCAAGTGGTACATATTTTATAAATGTTCAGCAAATATTATAAAAAGTTGACATTAAAAAAACAAAACTTTGTCTAATATTGGTATTACTACTAAAGATTTAGAAGTATCATCAAGCCATTTGTGTGACTAATGTAACCATGTATTGCAAGATGATATTTTGTTCAATGTGTTTCATAATCTTCCAATTATTGAAAGCAATTTGTCTAAAGAAATTAAAATGTCTTTGGTTAACATTGCTGGCTATGTCAGTAGGGAAGATCCTCCAGTTGAAGATACATCATTTTGTTTTGAGCAGTTTGGAGATTATGTCAGAGAGATTAATCGTGGTGGTTTAAGTTTGCCTGGACATAACATTTGCCATTGGATATTTTATTCATACATTTTATTTCATCATCTTTACACTTTTGTCTGTCGTGTTAGTTTATCTAACTGCTTTTTGATGGTATCTGACTTTTATGGATTTACCAATGTTTCAAAAAAACATTGTAGAACCCTTGCCAATATATTTTTTAACAACTATTGCCATCTCTATACCCCGCGATCTTCAAAGGAACCCAAATGAAAATTTTGAAGTTATATATATATATATATATATATATATATATATATATATATATATATATATATATATATATATATATATATACACATATACACACACACACACATATATATATATATGTGTGTGTGTGTGTGTGTATATATGTGTATATAAATATATATATATATATATATACAATATATACATATATATACATATATATATATATATATATATATATATATATATATATATATATATATACAATATATACAATATATACATATATATACATATATATACATATATATATATATATATATATATATATATATATATACATATACACACGCACACACACACACACACACACACACACACACACACACACACACACACACACACACACACACACACACATATATATATATATATATATATATATATATATATATATATACACACACACATATATACATACATACGTACATACATACATACATATAGATTATCAAAAAGTAAGATCTTTTGTATCAAAGTGCTTTCTAATAAAAATTTATATACTTAATTTTTTTTTAATTCAATTTTCTGTGGGAAGGGACTAACAACTCCTAACAAATGTGTTTATATTGAAAACAATGTTAAAAAACAACATTTGAGTTAAACATAGAACATAGCTAAATTTAGTTATTAATAAATAAATTCGGAAAGAAAATGGCGGCACTTCAAAATTAAAATGGCAATAAGAAACTTAATAGGAAACTAAAATAGGAAACTTCGAATAAAATGAGTTAGGTTAAGTTTTTTTGAATTTTTTTTTTGTTAAAATTTTACTAATAAATGCTATGTATCAAACAAAATAACTTAAAATCATAATAGAAGAAATAATAGTAATAATAAAAAAACAATGATAGTAATCATTAAAAGTAATAAAATTATTAATAAGTTTTTTAATAGTACCTTGATATATTAAAAACATATTAGTAAAAGGTGGAAGGCGAACTAAAAAGTGTAAAACTGTGCCACTGTTTGAATAATGAGAGCTGTAATGGTAGGGAGGTGTTGCTTGAACTGGATCAAAAATTTTCATTTGTTCAAATTCTGATTTTAAATACTAAAAAAAAGATACACTAAAAATAATGTAAAAAACACAAAAAAAGATTTTTAGAAATTTTTAGATCTGCAATCACTTTAACACAATAATTCTAGTAAATAATACCAGTTTTAATGAATTAAAAAGATACCTAATTAAAGATTTTTAAAAATATTATTTATTATTATAGCAAAAAAACATTTTTTTAAGTTTTATGAACAACATAATGTATCAACAAAACTAAAATATAAAAACAGCATACATATAAAAATATAAAAACAACACACACACATATATATATATATATATATATATATATATATATATATATATATATATATATATATATATATATATATATATATAAAAATAACATACATTATAATTTTCAATATACTTTTCTTCTTTGCTTTTATCTTGACAAGCAATTGGCTTACTCAGATTTCTACAGAAATTTTTTTAAATGTATAAAAAATAAAAATAATGATAAAAAATCAATGATTTAGGCAAGGTTTTTAATTTTAACAAAATTATCTAAGAAAAGCCAAACAAAATACCAAACAGAGCCAAATAGCAATAAAAAAAAATCTGATAAACCTGAAACTTTGAGGTAACCGTAGATCAAGCACGTCATTGTCATACTCAGCAAGAATAAATGGAAAAACTGGATATTGCATTAAATCATTGAATGAACGACCAGCTCTTTTATTTAATTCCATCAGATATTCAAAATTAGTTAAAGAATCATCACGCCACCTACAAAACAATTTTGAATTATTTTAAAGTTATATTTTATACCTTTTGAAAAACTCATAAATGCAATGTATATAAAAATAGCTTATTCTGATATATACATGAGCAGTAGATGGGGCTTAGTTAGAGGAAATAACATAAACAATTTAGTATTATTTATGTCAGTGGTTGTTTAGCAACATTAATAAAACACAAAACTCTTTGAATCACTTAGTGTAGCTCTAATAGTACAGAAAATTAAGCAAACCCATAAACTTCCACACTATTAAGGTCACCACTAATAAAGAAACACATACAGAACATACAGAAAGTTTAGATGCATATTTATATAATAAATGATTATTATTACTATTATAAAAAAATATTTGAGTTAAACTTTAACTCAAATTTTTATTATCTTGAAGTGTTTCATATGATCATTTAAAATGGTTTAAACGATGACTATTAAATTGGTCTAAAATTTTTTAATCGATTTTAATCGACATTTAAAATTTTAATCGATGGCTGTTAAGTTGAACCTCAAATAACTTGAACTTTGTTAAGTCATTCGAAAAGGTTTAGCAAAACAATAAAAACTTTATTATTTGGTAATAAAATTATGTCTAAAAGATGTCTTTTATTTAGAATTTATTAAACTATAAAATAATTGCTTTTTTTAAAAGGGTTAAAAAGACCAATTATCATGAGTTATCTTTTAACAGTTTTTTTTTTATTTGAGGTTGGAAAACTGGAAAACTGCTACCATTTAAACTTTTTTACTATTTTTTTACTTATTTAACTTATATTTTTGTCATGTATAAAATTTCTTAAGATTAAAATTTTAAGATTAGACTTTTTCTTTTCTTTAGTTATTCAAATTTTTGTTTTTGTTTTTTATTACCTGAAATCTAAAAAAGAATTAAGAACTATATATTATTATATAATGTAAAATTATTTATAATGTAAAATTAAACGAGAAAAGGCTTTAAATGAATAAAGTGGAAAAAAAGAAAGAAGAGCCTGTTGAAATTAAAGATGATGATGATGAAGTGAAAGAAATAAAAAATAAAAGTCAAAGAAAAAAAATTTAATTCAAACAAACAAATTTTTTAATTAATCAACTGTACTAAAGATTTTTTTAAATAGTTTTTATTTTGTAACTTGTAATTGTGTTTATTTATGTTTTTTTATTTAAGATTTTTTGTTATATTTTTTATATTGTTATATTGTTATATTTTATACATTTTCTGAAAGATTCTATCTGTTGAAGTGTTTCATATCTATTGAAGTTCAGTTTTTTATTGGTTATTTTTAAAGGGTGACTTATTTATCTTAATAAGATTGTAATTTTTCAATAAATTATTTCAAAATTTTTCTATCATCCAACAACATTACTTATAATTATTTTATTTTCATTTTTCTTTGGTATTATTGATATAAAATATCTCAAATTTTTAACAACCAATGCTTTTTCTTCTTCTTTTTATTATAATTGTTATTGTTATTATTACCTTAATCATTATTATTAATTATATATACTAGCTGTCTGAACCCGTAAAATACGTCTAAGTAAGTGGTAAAAAAACTCTACATATTGTTTAAAGCAGCTGATAAGTAAATCACTGATAAATAGCAGTCATTGCACAAACCGCTATTTATTAGCGGCTCAGATACTTGTATCCAAAGCAAGTATTTTAAATAATATCTAGAATACCCGTTTGAAATGTGTTGATTAATTACGATTGGAATAAAAAGTTTAAAAAACATTAAAAATATTTCTAAATGTATAATTATTGTCTAAATAGTATAATTATTGTCTAAATATCATTATATATATGTCATTGTTATTATAGTAATAAATAGTAATAATTATTAGACTTAAAAATATGTGGAATAATAAACTTACCATGACTTGTATAATACGGATCACAGTAAGTCTATTCTATTATATAAACCATTTGTATACTAAATCTTTATATAGTTGTTTTATTTCAATAATTTTTAGAAAGTGGTAGAAAAAATATTCTGTCAAATCATTGTTTTGATTTAATGATTACTTTATATTATATATTTACAATACTTTGTAAGTTCTTATTGTAAAATTGTATTTGCTATAAAAAACTGGGTACAGACTTTTTTCTTTCTTTAGTTTCTATTAAGTTTTTATCAATTTTTTTCCAGACCATCCACAGCTTTTTAGGACAGTCACTCCGTTATTTAACTTTGAAAAAATAAAAGTTTAATATAAAATCTTTTTTTCTATAAGATAAAAAGTTGTCTATTTAATATGTGCAAAACGCACAGACATAACTAATTACCTAAGCACATTAATAACTTAAGTATCTCTATCATGATGTATGCATAATAAATTTTTAACGGTGTTTTGTTGTTTTTAGAAATTTTAGTCTTTTTTAAAAATTCCTTCCCTTTTGTTTGTTATATTATATAATATCTTTATATACATTAAGTATATAATATCTATAAAAACTTCAAAAGTGTTTTACTATGTATTTTGAAAAATCAAAAAAAGAAAAGGTGCAAGTGGTAGAATTTGAATCACAACAATGCTCTTCTGAAAAGCTGCAAGCTAACCACTTTGGTCACAAAGGCGTATAGTCTAATAAAAGTTTCAACACTATTTTATAAACAAAAGATTATATATATAAAATATAGATAAAATGGCAAATAAACTTTTTTAAAAAATTCTCTCCCTTTCATTTGTTATAGTATATAATATATTTATATATGGTTATGTACAAAATATCTATAAAACTTCAAAAATGTTTTAGTATTTAAAAAAATGAAAAACAATTAAAAAAAAAATTATGTGCAAGGATGAGGAGGATTGAACCATTCAGAAATGTGGCGAGCCACTTCGGCAAACAAGGTGTATTGTTTGATAAAGGTTTTAACACTATTTAATAAACAAAATAATTTATAAAACAGAAAATAAGTGCTACAAATCAAAACTAATAAGATGTTGCTGCAGTGCAATTTTCAAGTAAAAGTAACACTGTGAAAGTTGATATAGTTTTTAACATTACATAAAAAAAAATTTACATAAGTTAAAGAATTGCATCACTATCATTCACATTTTTTTATAAGAAAAAGTTCTGGGAATCTTTGTTCTTATTAACTTGGGTGTAATGGCTGCATTCACTTAGTGTAGCTCAAATGGTACAGAAAATTAAGCAAACCCATAAACTTGTAATGGTGTAATGGCTGCCATGAATTCCGTGCAAAACACTCACAAATGGGTAATGGCAGCAATAAATTCAATATTAATATATTATAGGATAAAGCTCTGTATTTTTTTGATGTTTACTTAAAATTAGTAGAATTACTATTGGTAAATATTCATGAAATTATTTTTTTAGAATATATATGATAAATTGATTACTCCATTCATTTTATCCATTTATTTGGTGCTTTATTTGTAATAAATTTGTTTTGAGGTTTACAAATGTTGCATGCTGTTACATAAAATGTTACATATTTATAATATAAAATGTTACATATTAATAATATAAAATGTTACATATTTATAATATAAAATGTTACATATTTATAATATAAAATGTTACATAAAAATTGTTACATAAAATGTTACATATATACAACATAAAATGTTACATATTGTGACCTCTTATTGTTAAATTAAATTTGAAAACTTGTCAATTATGCAATTTAACACAGACACTATCTTTGAAAATTTAACTTATATAAAATTGTTGTATTAAACTTAAAAAATTAAACTTAAAAAATGTTTAATTTTTAAAGTATACATATTTTTTTGTTCCCTGAGTAATTTATTTCTCCCCTGCTTCCTGAGCATTTCTAATTTCTTAAATGTTAGCCTTTCTTAATGCACACCAAAATGAAACAAAGAACTCAATATGAGGTCTATTATTAACTTTGTACAAAATTTTTAAAAGCTTCTTATCAAAACTTACAAGTGTTTAACCATTCCAATCATAGATTTTTATATAGAGAAACTTGTTGTTTCAGCATTAGATCATTTGTAAAAACAATAGCAAACTATGATTTCTTACTTTTAGATTTAATGGAATATTGCTATAATTTTTTTTTTTCAAAGTTTTTATTACCCTTACATAATTTTTGCACTAATTAAAATAAAGCTTTTGGACCAATTAAATGCTACATTAAAATCATTCTGCAATAGCAAAACATAATTTAAAGAGTTCCAATTTTGATATGATTTTAGTTTTATCAGCTTATAGTTTAAAATTACTCTTTGTTTGATTAGATGCCTAATATTATTCTTTATTTGATTAGATTGTTAATATAAAAGCCCAAACAACAAGATAAAGATATTAAAAAGATATTAAAGACCAAACAACAATCTTGGTGGAACATGATACAAATTTATATAAATATAATCAAATAATAAAAAATAAAAAATAATTTAAAAACACAAATATAATCAATTGATATTTTTACACCTAAATATAATTTTTTTTTTTTTTTTTTCAGATTTGATCAATTAAAAATATTTAGATATTAAAAACACAAAAATAAAATAAAAATACAAACCGATTTGTTAGAGTATTAAAATCAGATTCTGTAGCAATTAAATTCGGAAGTTCTCTAGACATCAGATGATTAAACACTTCATCGCGAACCTTTTTAAATTGAAATATTAAAAAAATAAGGTACATGTATGAATTTATATGTGTAAATATATATATATATATATATATATATATATATATATATATATATATATATATATATATATATATATATATATATATATATATATATATATACTATAACAATAATAACTAGTATAACAGCACACTGATAGACACAACCTCCTGCCAGTTAAATAGAAAAGATATAATTCTGACCAATTAGACGATCTATTAGGCCTTAAAAAAATCTCAAAATTCTTATTTTGTTTTGCTATCTCAAAATGTTTATTTCTACTAACTCTGACAGACTAAGATCAAAAGAAATGCGTTTTAATGCATTTTTGTGCTTACTGTCAATAAAACGGTTATAATAAAACAATTATATTTTTGTCAGTACCAATTTTAGCAGAATTTATTGAAAAGTTCTGATTTATTGGATTTGAAGTTTGATTGAAGTCGAATGAAAATGAAGAAAAATATTTGACAATTTTACCAATTTAATGAAATTTTTTTTTGAATTTAAAAGAATTTTTTAAAAATATAATACGATTTATTTACATATTAATAAAAAAAAAAACACAAAATAACCATACATAAACATAATTAATTAATAATAAACATAAATAATTATACCTTAGTATCTTTGAAAGCAAGTAAAAATGTCCTTCCAGATGTTAAAAATATTTCCAATGCATTATCCTAAAAAAAAAATAATAATAATAACAATAATAATAATAATAATAACATAAAAACAGGAAAAATAAGTAAATAAATTTTACAAATTTAAACTATCTTTATTTTTAAATAAAATTATTTTTAAAACTAAGAAATTTATAAAACGTATACAAGTATTATATTTTGATGAAAATAATATATATATATATATATATATATATATATATATATATATATATATATATATATATATATATATATATATATATATATATATATATATATATATATATATATATATATATATATATATATATATATATATATATATATATATATATATATATATATATATATATATATATATGGTGTTTGCTAAATACCAAAATGCGTTTCTATAAATTCTATATTTTTAAATACTAAAATAACGTGTTTCTATAAATTATAAATAAATGTGTACAATGGTGTTTGCTAAATACCAAAATGCGTTTCTATAAATTCTATATTTTTAAATACTAAAATAATGTGTTTCTATAAATTATAAATAAATGTGTACAATGGTGTTTGCTAAATACCAAAATGTATTTCTATGAATACTATACTTCTTCTAAATACATCAAAAATCATAAACATATAGTAAGTTTATTTTTATAGTCTTCAATAACATTAAGGACTCTCTATCTGTTTTATAGATTTATATTTCTATAGTGATTTTAATATTTTTTTCTCACTATGAAATATATATTATGCAAAATGAGTAACAGAATTTATGTATTTCCTGTAAGCAACTTCAATTCAATATATGTTGCATGTTTATATATGTATTATATATTTCAACTATGCATCATTGTATGTTATATCTCAGTAGTCTATTTTATAGGTTTTTAAGTTTGAACAAATAAGTTGTTGAGTTTACAAAACAGGAACAAAACATTAAAAAAATATTAAAGTTGTAAATAAAAAAATAAAATAAATCAACATAATTCTTTCATTTTTCTTAATCAGTAATATTTGAGATCAGAATATTTAAAACAGAAAAGATAATATGATTTGAAAATTGATTAACAGGTGACAGTTCATTGGTGCTTCTTAGCTCAACATTATGTGTCAAACAAACTCAGTTCAATTGAATTAAAAATTTGGTTAATGCAAAAGACTTAATTTTATATTTTATTGACAAACTTTCTACTTAGTCCTAAACCTTGGCAGTGGTTGAGTAGCAATAGCTTATCAAGCGAAGGGAATACCACCTGGCACATTTTCTGTGACCACTGCTTCATTAGCATTATTTTGATTGAATAGATTGTATATAAAAGAATATATAATAATATATAGAGTATATGTAAAAATATATATAGAGCATATATAAAAGAATATATAATAACTAAATAAATTAACATTATTAAAACCATACTGAAAAATTGTGTTCCAAAATCTCTAAATCAGTTAAAAGATCTTGCTCAACTGATATTTCTTGAACACAAATATCAGTTGAAGAGTATCAACTGATATTTGTGTTCAAGAAGATTAGAAAACTGTGATACTCCTTAGTGTTGGTAAAACAAGAAGGCAATACTAATGGCTCCAACTTAAAACGGTGTCGCCCAACTAGATCTGGTTTTTGGAACAAGCAAACTCAATCAAGCAAACTCAATAACACACAAAAAAAAAGGGTGGTGTTGATTTGTGTGATAGATAAATAGTTTCTACAGAACTATATAAAGAACTAAATATATATAAAAAGAAATAAATGGACTGTGTAAACAATAATACATCTGATTTACGATGTCTTTGTAAACTTATACACCAACATCTGTCTGGTGTAAAACAAATACCGACTATAGATAAAACAGCCAGTAATGCTGTTTGAAAAAAAACAACTTAACTTACTGTAATGTTCACTATTGTAGCAGAACTTCAAATTAGGGCTGTACCGAATTTCAACTTTGGCTCCTACTCCGGCTGAAATCCGGCCATTTTTACAAATCCGGCCCAAATCCGGCTCCGGTAAAATGTTAGCAAATTCGGCTGATCCATAATTTCAAACTAAACTCTTAACATTACAGGCAACAATGACAGGTGAAAAAGCAAGATTGACGTCAATCTGAGCATGCCGAGCAGCAGATTGATAAAACTAAAGAAAATCCAGCAAAACAAGCCCAGCTGGATAATTCTTATACATTATCATCATAAAAATGGCAATATATATAGATGAAATATTCAGTCTAGGCCCGGCTATGGCACTGCACATAAACAACAATTACCAACAGGCATTGACACACAGCTACCCAGCTAAAAATTAACGTTCTAAGAACATTACCATAACATTCGTTTAGGTTTGAATAACATATGCTCCAGACGTTCTTTGAACCAATTTTTGTGAATTCCGATTTACAGTTCTTAAATGTTCGCTGTGAACGTTCAAACAACGAACGTTGATCGAACGTTTGCTGCAAAGATTACTTTGATAGCTCTTGAACGTCCACCCCTGCTAAAAGTTAATGTTAACGTTCAACCATAACCTTTGTTTAGGTTTGCATAACGTACGCTGCAAACGTTATTTGAACAAATTTTTGTGAACTCCAATTTATATTTCTTGAACGTTCGCTAAACGTTCAATTAACAAACAGTGAACGTTTGCTGGAAACGTTATTTTGATAGCTTTTAAACGTCCACCTTAAACGTGTTATTACACGGACGTTAACCCAATTTTTTTTTTTCTTTTCAATGTATAGATTTAAACATACTTTTTCTTTAAACCTAGGTTTGCTAGTATTTGTAATGCTTTTTTGAATTAACAAAGCCTATTTTTACTTAATAAATACAAATTCACCATGTTTTATAGTAGAATTACACCATATGAAGCTTATACAAAAACCCACGATTTAACTATTACATTTACGATTTAATATACATTTCGACCAAAGGCACACAATTAGCTGAGCTGATTACGCTTAAGAAAAATAATACTTCTTGCGATGAAAAAGTTGATTTATTAGTACTAGTTAGCGCCCTATAGGACATAAATAACAATTTACATCAATTTAAACTAAATTTTTATAAAACAACATGAACAACATAAAAAATATAAACATGTTATTCCAGGGGAAAGTCCAGATAATTCCACTAAAAACAATAAAAACATGCACGTCGTATGTAAAATACCAAACCTTATCATACATCATAATAAATAAAAACAATTCCTAATTAAAAACAAATTTTTGTGTGGATTTGATAAAGCTTTTTGTAGATTTGATAAACAAACTAGTTTTATTTATGAATTATCTATACACAAAGAATGACATTAGTTCACAATAATGTGTTTTAGGGATAGCATAATTAACTTTACTTTTTAACGGGTCCCTATTATTTTGAAAAAAAATAATTTAAAAGTATCATGTTGGATCTTCAAAGTAGTGAAATTGTATAAAAATTTCAATTAAATAATCATTTGGTAATACAACTATTCTTTTAGATTTAATTAAATAAAAGCTATAGTTTTTTAACCAAAAATAAAAGTACATTTTTACAAGTTTTGAATAAAAAATTAGTTCATGCATATATATATATATATATATATATATATATATATATATATATATATATATATATATATATATATATATATATATATTTTAAAACGAATATTATTGTTGAAATTTATATAATATTTTTGCTACATTAATTTGAGTACCAGGTTGACCTACTTTAAAAGAACTTTTTTTTAATATAAGGACACCCTTGAAATGTTAAGTTAATTAAGCTGTTACCTAACATAGGAATAATGCTTTGAGATTTGAAGGAACTATTTTTTTCTTAATTAACAACATTTAAACATCTAGCCACTGAACAATTAAAAAAAAACTTTTTGATCTGGTCATATAACATATAACAATGTCGCTGCAACAAAAAACAACTGTCACTTGGTATTCTGAATAGTGAACATTGTTAGCCATTTTCAGCACCACAGGATTTTGGCTCCAGTAGTTTTTTTTTGAAATCCGGCTCCGGCTTCAATTCTGGCCAGATCTGTTAGTAGAAATCCAACAAATCCAATTCTGGCCGGATTCGGAAAAATTAAATCCCGTACAGCCCTACTTCAAATACATAATAATAACTTAGTAACCAACTAATACTAACGTAATACTTCAAATACATAATAACTTAGTAACCAACTAATACTAACGTACTTCAAATTACTAAACATATATTTTAATTACTTAACTAATGATGTCCAACACTTTAGACATCTATAATTAATGTCATTTAAGTTATTTAAATAAGTTGTGTGTTTTTTATGGCTTTATTGATTAATTATTATAAAAATAAACAGCAAAAATTGGCAACATTATTAACTTTATGCTTGACAGCAGGCTATTTCAGTATGATATCAGACATGTTATCTAAACATATATTCATAGTCATTATTATTATTTTTTTTTTGTTACTATTCATTAAACTCCTTTAGAACATTATACTATTTTTCTATTTTAGACAATATTCATTAAATTCATTTGTGACATTATTCATTTTTTTTGTTTTCGACAATATTCATTAAACTGCTTTGCAACATTTCTTATTCTGTTATTCAACAATCAATAATGTGACAATTTGCGACACTATTCCTTTTTTACATTTTCGACAATCAAATTTGCGACAAGTTTTGTGACACACCGTATTATGTTTGCATATATGTATATATATATATATATATATATATATATATATATATATATATATATATATATATATATATATATATATATATATATATATATATTATATAATATTAAAAAATTTGGCTTTGAAGAGAAGGAAAATGAAACGTGGGAAAAAAGTGAACTTAAAGTTAAAGTTTTCTTAAAAGAAAAGCTTGGCATGACGAACGAAGTATATATCGAGAGGGCTCACAGAACAGGAAAAAAGAATGAAGTTGGAATGAAAAAACGAAGAACTATTATTGCAAAATTCTTATACTATAAAGACAAAGAAAACGTTTTAAAAGAATACCGATTACTCAAATTATGGAACGAAAAAATATTCTTGAATTAAGATTTTAGCGAAAGAACAAGAGATAAACGGAAACTTCTTTTTGCAAAAGTTAAAGATATTCGAGCCACCGGTAAGTATGCTAAAGTAGTATACAATTAGTATACAAAAAATAGTTACACGCGAAAAAGTAGTATACAAAAAATAGTTACACGCGAATTTTAAAAGAATTAATTTTTTTTATTTTTGGATTTCAAATAACTAAAATGGATCAACTTTAATTAACTTATTTCAAACTAATGATTTTTTACTGGACAGCAATAATGACCCTGACCTAAATTATTTTAGTGGAGCTGGTGCTTTAAAAAACAAGTGCAGTTATTTGTATGTCCAAGAATTAGAAAAATTTCTTGAACTGGATAAGTTGAATGTGATTCATATAAATATAAAAAGTTTGAAAAAAAATTTTCGTAATTTAATTGATGAAACTTTTAACATTTTTAGCGTAATTTGCTTAACAGAAACTTGGTGTGATTCTGATGACGTTTATTTTATTTCTAATTTTAACTTGCCTGGATATAAATTGATTTCATTAGCGCGTAAAACCAATAAACGTGGTGGCGGCGTGATTATTTACGTAAAGGAACGCTTAAAATTGTTAACCAGGCTTGACATGAGTATCTCTGATAGCAATAAAGAGGTTTTATCAATTGAATTAATTATTATAAAAGCTAAAAATATTATAATTAGTTGTTGTTATCGCCCACCATCTGGTGTAATTGAAAGTTTTAGTTCATATTTACATTATGATATAATTAAAAAAAACCAATCATGAAAAGAAATTTAACTACTTAATAGGTGATTTAAATTTATGTTGCTTCAAATATCACATAAAACCCAACATTAAAAGTTTTTATAATGACATTTTTGAAAATGGTGCGGTTCCACTAATCACCAAACCAACCAGAATAACTCAATCGACATCTTCCCTGATTGATAATATAATAACAACTGATTTATTTAACGAATCTCTTAAAAAAGGCATAATTAAAAGTGACATTTCTGATCACTTCCCTGTTTTCTTTTCCATTAATACTAAAGTGGAAATGTCACCAAATATAAATCAAATTTTTGTTAAACGTATTTTTAATGAAAAGAATTTGGAAACATTTAAAGAGCAATTGTCTCTTCTTCATTGGGGCACATTTCCAATTTAGATTATGCTAACCTGGCTTACAACAAATTTTTTAAAACTTTTTTTGATATATATGATGTTAATTTTCCAAAAATCAAAATACATTGTAAATTAAAAAGTATAAAATCCCCATGGATTACTAAAGGGTTAAGAAAATCATCCAAAATCAAACAAAAATTGTACATTAAATTCCTAAAACTAAAAACAGATAAAAGTAAAGCTATATATAAAAGTTACTCCAAACAATTCGAACGTCAAAGAAAAAATCTTAAAAAAAATTATTACAATGATTTACTTGAGAAATATAAATTAAATTCTAAGCGCACATGGGAAGTTATAAAGAAAATCACAGGCAGTTTTAAAATGAACACACTTACATTGCCTAAAACCATCAAATCAAATGATAAATTTTTGTATGATAAAGAAGAGATAGCTAACGAGCTGAATAAATATTTTGTTTCTGTTGGATCAAATTTATCCCAAAAAATTCCTCAAGCAATTAATCCAATAAGTAATCTATTTATCCCTAATACATCGCGATTTAATTCGTTTGAACTAACTTTTGAAGAGTTTGAATGCGCTTTTAAAATGCTAAAACCCAACAAATCAGCAGGTGCAGATGATATCAACGTAAATATTGTTATTAAATCATATGAAATCATTAAAGATGTACTTTTTAAGATTTTTTCTTGTTCTATTAGGCAAGGAATTTTTCCTAACCAACTAAAAATAGCAAAGGTGATTCTGATATTTAAGGGAGGTGATTTAACTAATGTTAGCAACTATCGTCCCATTTCTATTCTATCTGCATTTTCAAAAGTCTTGGAGAGAATTTTATACAACAGAATTTATAATCATTTATCTGTAAACAATTTAATATATAGCAATCAATATGGATTCAAAAAAAATAACTCGACAGAACACGCAGTTCTCCAGTTTACAAGAAGTATTACTAACTCTTTTGAAAACTCCCAATATACAGTTGGGGTTTTTATTGACTTAGCTAAAGCTTTCGATACAATAGACCACAATATTCTTTTAAATAAACTAAAGATTTACGTTATAAACGGAAGTGTTTTAAATTGGTTAAAAAGCTATTTAAATAATCGAAAGCAATTTGTATACGTTGATGTAGTTTCACCAGTAAACTTGCTTGATATAACCTGTGGAGTTCCTCAGGGATCAATATTAGGGCCTCTTCTTTTTCTTATTTAGATCAACGATCTCCATAAAGCCTCAAATTTAATGACGATTATGTTTGCAGATGACACGAACTTATTTTTATCTCATAATGATATTACATTGTTATTTCAGAATATCAATAATGAACTAGTAAGAGTTTCTGATTGGTTTAAGACAAATAAACTGTCTCTTAATATTGATAAAACGAAATGGATTTTTTTCCATCCAAATCACACAAAAAATCTTATACCAAATGAAATGCCACTGCTTTTTATTGATAATATACTTCTAAAAAAAGTAACAGTTACAAACTTTCTTGGTATTTATATTGATGAAAATTTGTCATGGAAAAGTCACATAAAAAAATTTGAGTAGTAAAATATCAAAAAGCATAGGAATTTTGTACAAAGCAAGGTGTTTTTTAAATAAACATACATTACTTAAACTATATTATTCGCTCATTCATTGTCACATTAACTATGCGAACATTGCGTGAGGTAGTACTAATAAAAGTAAACTGGAACCTCTTTATCGTCAACAGAAACATGTTGCACGCCTTATTAATTTTAAGGATCGATTTACTCATGCCAAGCCTCTATTAATTGAAATGAAAGTCTTAAATATATATGAGCTTAATATTTTTAACGTTATATGTTTTATGTTTAAATGTAAAAACAATATTTCTCCTGTACCTTTTCATAATTTGTACAACAAAAAAGAAAAAAACTAAGTACATTTTACGAAATGATAATATTATTCGTCAATCAGCTTATCAAACTAATTCTGGAAAATACTGTATTTCATTTCGAGGAGCATTACTTTGGAATAAAATAGTTTTAAAGAATTTTGACTTTTCTCAAGAAGTTAGCTATCACTCTTTCAAACAAAAACTTAAAAAAGTCATTTTTTTATTAGATCTATATTCTTTTAATTTTTTGTTTCTTTTTTTAACTTTATATTTAACACTGCATTAATAAATTTTATAATTTAACAATTTGTAAATAGTTGTTTAACACTTTTGTTAAAGGTATCTTAAAACTGTATAACAAAACCTTTAACAAAAAGTTTAACAATTGTGCTAAAGATATCTTAAAACTGTATAACGCATCTATGTATTTATAACGGAACCGTTTTTCTTTTTCTTTTTTTCTTTAAATTTGTTTATGTTTTCAATTTTTAATTCTTAATTATTTGTTATCTTCAAGTATGTTAAGTATATATTCCTATTGAAAGTTTATTTATTTTGAGAATATTTTATTAATACGAAATATTAACACAAAAATTTTTTAGCGGTTCTCGACAACAAGACCTAACGGTCTTCTACGAGTTCCCGTGTTCTTTTATTTCTTAATAACGATCACGTATATATATATATATATATATATACATTGTTAACGAATATTTATTAAATCACAAAGTTGTAAAATTAAAGAACAAAAAAAAAAAAAAAAATATATATATATATATATATATATATATATATATATATATATATATATATATATATATATATATATATATATATATATATATACACATGTGTATGGGTTAAAATATAAGCAGGCTATTTTATATTTTATTTTTTATTTAAATAAAATATTTATATATATATATTTTGCATATACTTGATACCTGCAGAGAATAACGTCGTTTTAAAATTTCACGAATTTCATCATACTTCCATGATATTGATATGTCTTTCTCACTGAAGAAGGTCTTTTATAAAACATAAATGTTTTAATATGATAAAATATAAAAAAATGATAAACAAAAATGTTATGTTTTATTTATAAAAAAAAAAACAAAAAAAAACATATAATATTATAATAACAGCATGTTAAAAAAACTTTTTCTGTTACCCAACAACATTGTTGTTGTTGGGTAACAAAAAAATTTAAAAAAACTTTTGTTACCCAAAGATAGGTATCAGCATTTTAATTCAACCTAATTTAAACTTTAATTAGTTTCTACATTTATTTTTTCTATAAGGCAGGCTTTTTAGCAGCATTTTTGTTTCCTTGTCTCTAACAACTTGAAAGTTTTTTTTTATTACATTTAAATTGAGAAAATTAGAAAAGTAAAATTTATTATTTATTTTTCTGTTAGTAGGCAATTTTTATTTTTCAAATCATTCGATCTTGCCAAGTCTGCTCTTAGATTGGCAAGCATAAATAACATTATTCAGGCCTTATATGACCATGCATAAAGTTCTTTGTTTTAACAACTTGACTACGGCTCTTGGCAAATTTTGATAATTTGCGCGTTAAAAAAAATGCGCTAAAAAAACAAAGCAAATTAAAATTAAAACAAACAATCCATAAACTGAAAAAAAATAAAATCCTTAAAATAATATATAATACAAAAATTAACCTAAAAAAATAAAATATTCAAAGAATGATAAAATAAATAACCAGAAAAAAAAAATCAAAACATTTATTAACTAATGTAAACTTAATTGTAAACGAAAGAAAAAAAAATCACAGCTTTAATAATCTTTATCATTCCTTCCCATGAATAATTAGGCTGATACAAGGGCGAATCCATTGTGAGGGAAAGGGTCCCCCCCTCCCCTCAGATTTTTTATTTATTTTTTTAGAAATTGACGTTTAAAAATGTAAGTAACTTAGGCTGTTTAAAAGTGCCATGAAATTTAATAAAATTTTGTGGTGCAAGTTTAAAATTTTATTAAAAAATAATAGGATACAGGGTGAGACAAATCGACAAAAGTGTGCGCATATTAAAAA